GATATTGCTGTGGTATTCAAGGGTCTAATAAAAGGACCCATGAGAGAATACTAGAGTGGAGGCCGTTGCCTTGATGACGAAATGGTAATTAAGTGACTTTCTTGCGGCAACTTCCCCAAATAGTACAAGCAATGTCGGTTCGGGAAAGAGGAAAAGGTTGACGAGTATAGGTCGTGATACGCTACCGTTTTGCTTGCCGAACATGGTTGCCGCTCAAACAGGGCAGATAGTCGCCCAGGATGGGAGACGGGCAGTAGGAACGGTTTTATGTAATCGATCCGCCGCACGCGGCTGTCGCGGACCATTAGGCCTAACTGTAACAGTTCCAGCGCTCGTCATACAGCTCAATCATTATGTGATTATTGCTTTTGGCATGGTCCTACCGTTAGTTCTTTTGTTTTTGTTTTGTGTTTTCTGTATTTCTTAGTTGCTGCTGCATTCTGATACATTCCTTCCCACGCGACGTTTCACTTGCCGCGAAGCGACAATTTCGTTCCTACTGCACCACACCCGCCCATGTTTCTCATCTTTGATGTGTGAAGGATGAAGGATCCTGACACTGAAGGAGTAGACGAAATTGCCATCTGCAGTGATATTCATGGGTCCCGGGAAAACAATAGAACTGCGCTCCCCGACTCATATTCAATAGTAGGCACAGAATATCTTCACTCTTATGTTCTACATTGAGGGCTTGTGTGCTTTATTGAAGTTCGAATGAGTGACTTTTCAGGCATGGCGGCATGGTGATCGTACCCCGGCGACACCAGTACCGTTTAGTGACGCCAGCACATGGAGTGAAGGCTTGGGAGAGCTGACGCGAAAGGGAATAGGTTGGGTTTCCCATAAGCTTTCAAGGCTTTCATAAGCTTTTACTGCTCTTTAGCAATGTTCTAAACGCGTTTGCTGGCTCCTAAGGTTATAGACCCACATTTTATTATTGGTTTTTGGATGCTTTCGCTTACTTGATCACCTCCTTATGCTCCCTTAAGGGGCCCTAAACATGCGGTATTGACCACCGCGCACGTGACCCATACATTGCGCGTATTATGATTGGCGATTGTTTCTAATCATGTGCCTAACATTCAGACCACATCGATCAATCAGATTACTGTAGGGCATCAGGGAAATACGGTAGCCCGTATATGCAAGGGTGCAAACAGATGGGACAAGATAGGATCTCCCAGAATAGTGCCCCTTGATTTGCACAGTGATACAATAGTGCGGCTCGGTGAGGAAACAGCGCCTGAACGAACACGCTTAGGATTTACTCAGATTAAGGTGCGTATCGTTTTCAATAGCTACCACGCATAATTCGGGCAAACACACTATGGCCCGATGCGGATTCGCCCACGTCCCATGGTCTGTCTTTTGAATGAGTGACCGATCGTGTGCATCCCTCCATAGGTGCCATCTGGAGAACCTTTTTTGAGCAGGGTCACTAAAAAGTAAAAATATTGAAAGAACTTTTCTTTTGAAGTGCTTTGTACCGTTTTTTCCTACCAGCAAGTCAGGTGTAAGCGCGCGATCGGTCACGCGAATGATATCGGGAATCGTCTACATCGGAGACTTGATCTTCAGCTATATTTTAGTGAAGAGTATTTCAGCGGAAGCCCGTGGTGGGCCTTATCAGGTTAACAAGGTATTGACCGGCAGTGACTTCGATCAGTATGTTGAGAGTTTCTGTCGGGATGCCACTAATTTCCCGTTTTTGCTTCTCATTAATATACAGTTTGAAGCTATTAGTATAATTTTCCTCGCTTCGCTACTGATCTTCCCATGCGTAGCTTAGAGTGTTGCGACAACTATTCCATTTTTAACACAGCTTTCCATATCTAGATCTTTACTAGCAACCAATCGTGGCTTTTCTCCTGGAGTTCATAACAAACTTTCCATTCCCTTTCTTCTCCCATAAGTTAATTGGTTCTTACGATTACAGATACTTCGGTATACTGGCTACTCCGAGTGTGAGTGTATAACGGGAATTTGATATCTCATTTACATGACAGATCACTCTTTGTAACTAATGCGTGGGAGCATGCTCTGTAAACTTCAGGAAGGCTTCCCTTTATACACCAATTTTTTTTGTCCGACTCGTCTTGATACTTTATTTGTGGTCTGTTTGAGGAGGGAATAAGCTAAAGGGGTGAAAATGTAGTTGGGGGGAGGGGGCACCTATCACAATGTCGGTATATCAAGAAATGAACTCAAAGAAACGCGTTATATCACGGACATGCCAGTTTTTAAATAAGGGCTCTCGTAGGGAAGGAGCACCGCGGTGGGCAAGTTTTCTTCTTTTTTTTTCTTTTTTTCTGCAAGAGGTAATCATCCCAGCCACCCAGGTGCTCCTACCCTACCTAGGCTTATTTGGTAAACTAAATTTCCTTGGCGGAAACCGCATGAAAGAGCTAAGCTGGTTGATTCCCATAATCCTCGACGCATCCGATACAGTGCTGATATAACAAGGGCTAACACGTTAGACTGAGTTCATTTCTTGATATACTGACCTTCGGATGGGTGCCCCCCCCCCCCCCCCCCCCAACTACATTTTCACCGCTAAAGGTAAAACTGGGTGTGTACTATCCTATATTGGCGTGCAAAACATTCTTATTAGGGTATGTGAAGAACTTTTTTGCCTCTCAAAGCAATCTGATGGGGTTTTTCACGTTTTTTTTGTTGAATGATTAACACGAAACTCCCATCGGTATGAAGGCAAGTAGGTAGATAATTCAAGAAAGAGTAGTTTTGACTGTGGATTGCTTCTGTACTCGAACTAAGTCGAGGGAATTTTCTCACTATCCCACCTTTGTTGTTCATAAACACATCGCTCCTCTACGTGCTTCTTATTGTTGTGTTTTTGCAGCGCAACAGTATCGTCTTGGAAAATGGCTGAGAGCTCGCTACGGCATGTGGATCGGCAATCGTTTCGATCGCAGCGAGGTTTCCCTTTCATTAACATTGTAGCTTTTATCTATTTTTATTGATTTATTTCAGATCTTTATACGTAGCAGCGACTACAACCGAACCATTATGTCTGCACAGGCAAACATGGCTGGTAAGAATCTATCATTGAATTATCAGTTAATCTACATTTCATGAATAAAAATCTTGAGAGTGGATATGGTTGTCTAAGTTTTATGGACTTAAGGACTATTCCCGCCGACGAAATCAGAAATGTGGGACAAAGAAATGCCTTGGCAGCCAATACCTGTGCACACTGTACCGAAAGCGATCGACAAGGTCTGATTTTGCGCTGTTGTGAAATGTTGAAGTATTCAGTAATGTTAGATTATTTCCACTCAACAACAACAATACAGGAGCTGTACGAGGACATCAATTGCCCAACGATAAAGCAAGAATTTTCGGCGTTGTGGAGATCTGAACTGGTCCGTCGTATGGAGTCTGAGAATAAGGAACTTGTTGAGTATCTTCGAGAGAAAACTGGGATACCGAACTTCGAATTTCGCCAGCTTTGGATGGTATTCGACAATCTTTTCTGCATGGTTAGTATTTGAAAATTTGGTCATGTGAACTAAAATGGGGTAGTATTTTGTTATGACATAAAAGGCCTGTGTATGTCGGATTTTTCTCTTGTTGTGCGCCAGGAACCGGGGTTCTATAACGGTGTTCATGTGGGTGGAATTTTTTGATCTCTTCGCTTAAGAGTAGAAAATGAAACAATTGGTTTGCTAGATTCATTCCTCTAAACATTTTGTCTCTTGGAATTTGTTCGTCTTTCCTCGCTATTTCTTATAGACCTAATTTGAAGGGACTTAGCAGTATGACAATGCTGACGTACCTATCAAGTGCACTGTCGTCGATTACCACGAAACGTTATCGCTAGAACCACTAGTGAAGAAAAAAGCCATTATTGTGAAAATGAGCATGTGATCATTTCAGCTTCAACACAATGACACTCACAAATGGCCCTCGTGGGTAAATGCGTCTATTTTTGATCGCATTCACAAGTTGTATGATGCTTCTTCTCGTTTGAAATACCACACAGATGTGTTACGTCGGTTACGAGGAGGTAATGTGTATTATTAAACTTTTTGAGACGTCAGGTCCGATGTTAAGCTTCATTTTAATTCGATTGTTACAGGACCGTTGTTGAAGGACATCATACAACGATTTGAAGCGAAGATAAATGGTAACTTGGGAGATAAGCCGAAGCTGTACGCTTATTCAGCGGTATGTCATGGGAGATATTTGTCTCACTTATACATAGTTTCAATATGTCTATGAGCCTTCCTGCAAAAGGGTGGAGATGAGATGTCCTCCTCTGCGAGGTGGTTTCTTTTAGCCATTCACAACGGGAAAGATATCTCCTTGGAAAAAAAGCAACCAGCTTTCTTTTGATCTATCTTGCGCCGTAAAATTACAGTAGCTCATCTTTAGCACGATACGACACTCGCTGCAATGCTAGCTGCCATGGGGATTTACCCGGAACGTTTCCCACCTTATGCGAGTGCGGTGCTTCTCGAGCTTCATAAGAAAGATGGACGTTTCGTGTTGGAGGTATGTGCTCAATGAGTTGTAAACTACAAACCCTAAAGTGCACGATTGTAAAACGCTTGACATTTGAGACTGATAATCTTCACGGCTCGCGGGAGGTGGCAAATTTGTTGCAAATCAAGAGGGAGTACAATATATTGTTAACATTACTGTCAAGCTATTATTGTGATAATGAACTATCTCGTTCCGGCACCTTTTTCGAGCTTTTCTTCTGATCCCGGTTGCATAGTTGCTGAAGCTCATACCAATTCATTTGTATATTAGTTTTCTAATAGGTGTACTACAAAAACGTCACTGATGTCGACGAGCTGTACCACTACAACATTCCGGGATGTGAAGATCCATGCACCCTGGACGCTTTTAAATCTGCTATGTATAGGTAATCTCTTTGGTTTAGTACGAGCGTCTCTACACCATAGTATGAGTTTGATCATTTTATTTTGAAGCTCAATAATAAAGTCATGTGCTGTGGTTCAGATATCTTCCCGACGACTGGACTGCGGAATGTGGTTTAGCTGGCCCTAATGTCAAAAATTACATGAGTAAGTTTGCATCACTGACAACATTTTTCCGTTTTTCTTACTTTCCCAAAAATTTTTCCGTGCTGTACGTTTTTTGAATTGCTATTAGGTTTTTCCATGAAGCAATGTCCCATCATCACACTACCCTTAAACGGGACAGAGTCGAATTTCGAGCCTAACTCCGGATTCTCAGCCATACTACTTCACTTTCTCCCATATAGTTTTGCTGTGAACTCATCATTTTTTGAGCAAAGCCATTTCTATAATATTTACATGTATCACGAGTCTCAGTTATCCGCACTCCCAACTCTACCCTCAAAGGGCTCATATTATCTGCATTTTTTGGCTATTGCTCAACAATTTAGAAAGCGTAGCCTATGCCTAAACTTGTTCAAGCAGAAAGGGATAGGCCTTCACCACACGAAAAGGTCAGGCTATTGTCGGGTCAGGTTGTTTGTCGGGAAAGCAACAAAAAGAAAAGATTTTTTGAAGACCTCTGGTTCATCCCCCATCAAAGACAGACCGAGGCTAGAACGTCTGGACTAAACATCTACCATTATTGTATAGGTATTTACTTCTTTCCTAGCATTGAATTTAATAAGTTAGTAGAATTGTTTCGATTAATTCAAAAAATCTTATTATCATTTTCTCCTTATGTCGCGAAATGCGGAAGTTTATTGGACAATTTTTTCGATTTGTGCAATTGAAGTTGTTCTTTTTTTATGTTATAACGAAACGAATAGACAGCTATGATTGTTTTATCGGTAGGGTTATGATTACTGTCGATAGGGCTATTGGACTGAACAGGTTGTTTTGCAGTTTCCACAGCAGTCCTTGCGTTGACTACGGTGCTATTGGCAGGAGTTCTCATCGTAGATGTAGTACTGAAGCGGAAGCGTCGTTTTTCGATAGTGACCAATCCTCTGATGGCTGATGAAGAGGAATGCTAGGCTGCTTCCTCTGTTCTTCCTACATTTATAATTTTCTGCGACTTCGTGATGTGTGATCCTTATTTCTTATTTACATTACTTAATTTACTCGAATCGTTAAATATTTCCTTCTGTGATTATTTGTACAAATCGGAGACTTCATATCAAACACATTTCATATCATCTAGTTGCAAATCCTCTCACTGTAACATTTCTGTGATATTTCTTCGATTAGAAAACTACTTCGTTACCCGTATCCGGACAAAGGCTGTCTTTATATATGATGCCTTTCTGGATTGAATATGTAATATGTCGTCCGAAAATGGCAACATGGCTTTATCATGGCCATTTTTGTGATGATCAAAGCCTTTCCCTTAAGAATTTGTGCAGTCCATAACTAGTCCAACATATGTGTGCATTGTATAATACTTATTCATACCTTTATAGAGAGATTTTGTAGTATTTATTCCTTCTTATGTCGTACACTGGATAAATAAATATTTTATTGTTAATGCTGTGACTTGGCTATTTCGTGGTCGTTTAACGAAGTTCTCGCTCATGAGGTATCTGTAGAAGTTTGACACTGCTATTCTTTCTTGTGAGCTGATGTATGTGACAGTGGTGGATTCGAATTGTTTCCCTTTCCTTTCACAAGTAAATGTAGAGGGAAGGTTTACTGTTAAGACTTCTGCTGTGGTGTGGGGAAGACTTATGATACCACATCTATAGTCTAATAATATAGTACCCCTGCCACAAGTGGTACATCAGTTGTGCGCTTTAAAGCTGCTCTCCGATCTTGAATAAAAATTGATTGCCTGGACACATCTTAATGTGGGATTGAGAAAACCAAAACTTAGTCCTTCTTCCATCTGGAGTTGGAGTCAGTCGTACATCTCTTTAGGGTCAAATAAGGGGATGTAAATAAATGGTATAGTGTCTATACCAAGTTACCGTGACTCAGCGAAGCATACAATTGCACAGGGATGCAGGTGGTACCCATGAAAAGCCACGCCACTTAACTTTCGCACCCGTTACAGCCTCGTGTATTCCTTACGAAATGTTCAATTTTGTCGTGTGATGCATTTGTTTGTAACATCTGTGGTACTGGTAACCATCAAAGGTACTTCAGTATTCCAAAAACCGCTGCTTTTAGCTACTAAACAATGGAGTCATTGATGGAGAAGAAGATTGATCAATTGTAAGGAACCTCTTCATACATATGTGTATCTTTACTTTTTCGTGTTAGTTCATCATAAACTTCAGAATGGGACAACCAGGTATGGTTGGTGTTTGTGTATCCGATGCCAACGGTCTTTCCCTCTCGTCCAAAGGGTCTCTTAAGGTAGGTACCTCACCCTGAAGATTACTCCAGGTCCTTTTAACGACACGAAGTGAATCAATATTATTTTCAGCCAGAGGTGGCACCATTAGCATCACAATTGCTAACGTTTTGTTCCCAGCTTGAACCTTCGAGTTCTGTTCCTCCAGTAGTCAGCGTCACGAGCGACCATGGCAAGGTATCTTGCATTAATTTACGTTGCCTTTGAAAGGATAAACTTCAAAGTAGCGGCTGTTGTAGGACCATCACTGCTGATGTTTTTTTTTTTGAATATTGTATTTTAGCTGTGTAGCTTTCCAGGAGTTCCTGTCTTCTTTTTCAGGTTACCTTTTCAAAGAAGGATGATCTGATTCTGGTTTTACATCAAAACACTTGATTGCTGTACTTTACATATACGGAATAAATTATTAAATAACCTATATGGCGCTTTTTATTTTAATAGAGGTAAATAAACCTGATACCTTGTTGTCCATGTTGTAAAAGTTTCATTTTTGAGATCGCAACTGGATAGTCAATTTAGTCTTAACTTTTTGAGGTTTTTGAGGAATTGTAGCTTCAATGCGGCCCTGTTCATTTTCGATGTTTCTTTCTTTCCTTGTTCTCATGTTGCAGTAAAATGAACTTTCAGTAAAATGAGCAACGTTAATTTGAATCTAGAATTCTCAGGTGGCTGCGAATTTCTCGTTGGAAATGTCAAGCGACACAGAGTATGCCTTCTTTTCTACCTTTTATTCTGTTTAATTCACTTTGATTTACAATTTTCCAGGTGTCCATACCGTGCAACGAAGACTTTGTGACTGTGGGAGAAGTTATAAACTATGTTAACGACATTATGCTAAAGGTTAGTTTGTTGAATCATGGTCAGTGTATTTGTGAAAACCAAATCGGTTGAAGAAAGTGATGATTTTCAGTTTCTTTTTTAACTTCAGTGTTGTTTGTCTTGATATCCATATGTGATCATTGTTGGGATTATGTAGAGTATTTATGAAAGAGTGCTGGGGCCATGAAAGCTCTTGGGGGCTCCACTGAGTCGCACAAATAAGACAGTACAAATCTTGAACTTGCAGTAGGGTTTGGACACAAAACTTTCTAAAGTTCGTTGGCATACTAATGCTTCCTGTTAGTTTGGAGACAAGGGCTTTGTGGACGAATGAGTTTTCCAGTAAATGATGTAAGGCATCAGAATGGCCATTGCGTAAGGAATTACCGTGGCAATGATGGTCAAAGTCATCCAATGGCTGTTTGGGGATAACGGGCGCCTGTTTTCCCGCTGATGTGTACTCCATTTGACATGTATTCAGAGTGATAGAAATGGAGATGAGGGTAGATGCATTGCCGATTTTTTTCTAAGTTGCTCCATCTAAAGGTTATTATTCAACAATACTTACAACCATGATGTGTTAAACAGTCGCGAAAAAACAAATATCAAATACAGGGTTATCTGTTTTTGGAATTGACAAGTTTGGAAATCATCTTGCATTGTGGACCCTTTCTGGCAGTAAGCAATGTGAAAGAGATAAGAATGGGAAAATATTTGTGCTCTCAATTGATGGCCAGTGTCCAACAGAGCCGCATAAAATTGTTTGAACTCGACACGTTTTTATGATTTGTTAGCTTGCCACCAGACGTTTCGTTTCTAAGCTCCTACGTTTAACATTTTTAACATTGAAATCCGGTTTGGACCCTTGCGGTATTTCGGTCTCTACTGAAAAGTGATCGTGTTTCAATTTTTTGCTCTCCTATTTAGGAGGAACTTTTCAGCTGGAGTATCAGCAAATCGTTCATATCCGAGCTCAAGACAGACACATTTTAAATATTGAAAGGCGTACTTCTCTAGTTTCACCGCCTACAAGATCGCTGCTTACTTGCATAACTGGTTTCTAATTTGCAATATATCAAAATTTTTATCGAATTAAGGACTGTAATCGACGTGAACTTCTGATCTGTGACGGGACGATAAGGCCAGGAGTTCTAGTGCTGGTTAATGATTGTGATTGGGAACTACTTGGCTGCGTAAGTTTCTTCTTATTTTGGCTATTTGCTTCTACAAATTAACCTGCCGTTTTTTTTTAGGAAAAAGCTCAGTTACACAATAACGATTTAGTTACGTTTATATCGACACTTCATGGAGGCTAATTTCTTGTTTCATAGTAAATCTAAAGAACACTCGACAAGTTGTGCTTGCTGTGAATTTCTTCTTGAGCGGAATTCTCTCATTTGGTTATGAAATGAATACTATTTTTTCTCGAGTATGTTACATTGATACCGTAAAGCTTGTAAGACTTTCAGTTGGCCTATGCTTGGAGTTTCTTTATAAAACAACTTTCTTGGCCTTTCATTTTTTTGAGCTGTTGAATTTTTCTGTTGGTTTGTTGCAATTGACCGCGCAGCGCGTATGAGTGAATAAAGCGTTCTGCGTGATCTCATTTTGTGATGTCAAATAAACCTGTACTGTACAATTATTCTTTTTTGAAAACTGTCAAGAATCAGACTGATTTATTTACACGCAGTTTATACATAGCTATTGCTGTTCGAATTCCTGTTCGATGAGATGTTCAGATTTGAGCGGTAGCGGTGATGGAGGGGGTACCGAACGTACTGAAAGGGATAGCAGCACGGGTAGAACGAATAGTCCATGTATTAAGCCTGAAATTAGAGTTTTTATGATGACCTGTGTATTGCAATGCATATACTCCGCCACATTACAAAGTAGGCGACGTTGAAAACAGTTTGTTTCGTGATTGACGTATGGGCGCATCTGCTTGGTAACAATTCGACCTCCGCTCACCTTGCCACTTTTACCGAAGTGTCGTTGTCCTCTCTCTTGCTTTCGAATCGAAAAAAGAACAAATTCTGAGGATTAGCTTACCAATGCCCACTACAATGAAGATTGTCTTCGCAAAGGCGACGATAGCATATGTTGGGACGAAAATTAGCGGCAACATGCACAGGAACGTAGATAGGCCAGCCTAGGAGATAATTTGTTGGAAACTTTGGATCAGTATAAGATTGGTAGACCTACCTGCACCATAGGTGCTGCCATTTCACCCAAACTGCAGACGAGTCGTTCTTGAGGAGTGCCACGAGACCGGTAGAATTGGTAGGCAACATGAGCAGTATAATCAACACTGAAGTTTTCGGAGGTAAGCATGGGAACTTACGAAAAAAGCAAAGGTATAGAAGCTTCTGTGAATTTGTACCTAACTTCGGAGGGTACAACAGAAATGCCAGCACTGACCTGAATCCAGTTGCTAGCAGTACGTCTACTTGTGTCACTGGATCGAGATCCGCTCCCCACCATGACAATAGACCGACCAGACCTATAAATGACATTTTGTGAAATGCTAAGCTGACCTGATAACGGTTGGGTGGAGCCGAGTTGAAATAGAATCCTGGGTCCAACCCATCCGGGCTGATTGTAGGCAAGCATCCCACCTCCCCTACCTCTACCAACTAAGGAAAAGTACTTACAGAAGCATATAGATGTGATTGTATAGGTGATAATCAGTACGCCTATACGATTGTTCACGAATAACAGACAGATTCCAGCCATACATGCCACCGTGGCGGCTATAGATCCAATCAGATCATGTCCTACCTGAAACGCGAAATAAATTCATGATAGAGGTAATGGGTATCCGGTTCTATGGGCAGGTCAGTGGTGAGATTGTAAATAGAAAGGGAAGGGTTATGTAAAGAGCCTTAGTCGGAATTTAGAGGGGGAAGGGATTGAGGACAGTCCGACGACGACATGCTCTGGCTTGCCATTAGAATCAGGTTGGCTTGAGAGCGTTATCTTTTTTGACATAAACCCAAGTTCACAAACTCTTAAAGCAAGCCCCTTGTAGGGAAGGGTTAGCCCTCTGCTGACGGCTGGTAAAGCCATTGTTGAACTGACCGTGAGGATGAGTGACAGGACTGCCGAATCGCCATCGAAGAGAGATGCGTTCCATCGTGAATGCTGGGCCAGTACTTGACGGATGTCATGCACGAAATGTGCTCGATTTGCCCATTCTGCCATTCCTTTGCCAAGGATAACGAATGAAAATGCCTTCAGATAGCCTTCACCGCTGGAGTACAGTAGGTTCATGGTTCTCAAAATTAAAGAGAGATATTTCGAATACAAGTAAAAGGAAGGACACTCACCCGGTCTCATTAGACTTTATGTATTTGATTGAAGACGGATTTCCTACCCTATCGAGCCAGTATTGTAAATTATGCAGGCTCGGCTTGTATTCCGTTTCAGGAGCCAAAAACAGTGCCCTCGTCATTTGTGTCACCTAAACGACCAATATATCCTGCATTATCATCGTCATCATCCTATCAGCGGTACCCACTTTCTTGTCAAATTTCTCGTATGCGTTCAGGAAAAGCATTGTTCGGTCTTTACCGTATGCTCCATTCACATGTTCCAACTGTGAAACCATTTTATAGAAACTTGCATGCTGAAAAAGTTCGATTTCAGGGAATATACCGTACACCGACTCTACGGATTGTCTTTATCATCGATCCATGTTACTTGTTACTGTTATGCCCTTGATGTTTGCTGGCAATTACCGCAATGAGTAGGCGTGGTCGAGGTGAGTAAATGATGGAACCCAGGGTTATGAAGTAACCCTCTCTACTCAAAAGTAGCCGTGCTGTTAGCAAGTTTCCGATCTTTCCCCGCGATTGGTTCACTCGATCATGGTAAATTTTGATGTTGACGATGAGTAGTTGTTCTGATTGATCGGTCATGGGGCGTTATAGAGGTGGAATTCGAACCCTTCGCAAAAAACTGCTTGGTAGTTGTCCCAGTAGCCACCGTCGATTCATGATATCAAGGGATTAGTTATTCGTCCGTTTTCATTGAACATAGCTGGGACATGTTTCCTGGGATCTGAGTAAAGTCTCAGGTCCGAAAAGTCGTTAGGTAGATCTTTCAGACATCGAAAGCACAAAAACCTTCTCGTACTACCTATCTTTTGAATTTTGTTATTCTCCTCAAATCTCCTCAATTTCAGACCTACCTGTTCCTCATCGGATATATTTGGTGGATGATTTACATAGATATTCACAGGGAAGTAGGTATTGAATATGGGCCTGAAGAATGTCCGCGTTACTTTCTATGGGAGCAGTTGTCGATTTCATAGTTAATGGAATATGTGACTGTCTGACCTGATAGATTTTAGGCTTCTAACAAGTGGCGAATCAGATGGAAAAGCTTTCGCTGGCTCGAACGTCGACTTCATCCTATAGACCCCTGCGGCTGAGATCAAATAAATGGTGACTAGGAATATACCACAGAGTAGACGACCGTTCATCGAGCAAAGCAACCGTGAGTACTGCAAATATTCAGTTAAAAAGTAATGCTGAGTACTGCTTTTCCGTTTTCCATGAATTTATAATCCCATAAGAGTTGTTTAAAGTTATATCCCTGAGGCGTTGGAGGAAGAGGAGTTTAACATTTCATTCCCCCTTATCTTCTTTGTCTTTCTACTTGGCAATTTTGAAACTTACTATTACTTTCCCGGGGTCGCTATGTGCGTCACCCGTACCCCTCTTGGGTCTAGATGTTATTCTTACCACCACCTCTGATAACCTCTCGCTCCTTATAGAAAGAGTTATTTCGTACTCACCCTGTTAAGGTAGTCGTTTGCTGATGGTTTCGAAGGCAATGCTGATTGATAGTCTTTCTTTTCACTGCACAGGAAGACTACCGGTGCCAAGATAGTATAAGTGACTATGTAGTCGATCAATAGAGCTACTGATGTAGCCAGGCAAAATAGCGACATCTGTAAAGTCGAATCGCTACGGAAACTTTGATAGCATCAAACGAAGTAGTTAAAAAGCACATTTCATGGATACCTGTGGAGTCGGTGTGAAAAATCCGACGCCGAAAGCGATAATATTAGTCAAAGATGTGATTGTGATTGAAGGGCCAACGTCGACAATCACCTGAAAGAACGATTGTAAAAAAAAGGTCCAGAACGAGTCAGATCGAAAGGATCAATGTCCTGTTGAGGTCATATATTCAGGAAAAATGAGTAAAATGATGTAATCGTTGGATTGGACCAGAATGAGGACCACTTTCTTCAGATACACACCTGTGTTAGTCTCTTGGAGTGATCAGCTATATCCGAGCGATGTCTCCAACGGTGAATGAGTATAAAAGCATCGTCGACTCCTGCAACGAAAAACTCGCTGTGGAATAATCCTTATTTTGAGTAGGAAAACATGAGACGTCCCTCCTCCCGTGAATGCCAGCAATAAGCTGTGACTTTACAACACCTCGTGATAGGTCAAAAAAATCGACATAGTTACAATAAGTCTATTCCGTCCGGATAGGGTTGTGTACCTCTTCAGATCTTGCTCTTTTATTTCGATCTGGTGAAGCCCAAGGTCTCCGATCCGCGATGACTAGAGCGAGCTCGCCATAAATTACCATCACTCAATCACCCCCTTCACCCGTAATTTTCATCGGAGCGGCAGGCTCAACGAGCACAGCATGTCGTTCGAGCCTTCTGACACAGACCCGCCTCGATCGATTCACGGGGCGCTGCGATCCACACTAGTCGTCTCGCCCGAACCACGTCTTAGCTGTTCGCATGGTTAGTTACCCCGTCGCGAAGAATGTCGTTGGGATAACTGCGGCTCTCCACCGGATTTAACACCGGATTTAACGGAGCTTCTGGATTATAGACAAGGGGCATGGTTTCGATCAACTGGAGCTCATCTTTCACTCATTGTGGTACCTGCTTATTTCAACCGAAAAACCTACCTATTCCAAGAACCAGGAAAGGAGTAACACATTGCATCGAGTAAATTGGATACTTTAGCCAGGATAACAATCCGAAAGCAGCAATTGTGGCCAGGAAAGGTGTCAGCAGTGTGACAGCCACTAAATCCACAGTATGAATTGGATGGAACCTCATACATAGTAGACAAGTGCCTTACCAAGAAATGGGGTTACACGAAGTGTTGTCTGCCTCCATACAACAATAATAACAAAAATCAGTAAAAATACAAAGCCAATGGTCATCAGAAAGGTCGCCTGAAACAGAATAATATTTTGTGTTGAATTTTGACACAGAGCTAGACGAGTGGGGTCGGAAGGAGCAGTCCGCTCTGCCCATGGTACAGCAGTTTGGGGTACAGGTTTTCAGGACGCTCCCATTCAAGGCTGGGGTTAATCCCCAATTGATACAGCTGGCTGGAGAATTTTTTTGACAATGTTTCTGGTTGTGAATTTCGCCAGTCCAGTTCGCTACCCTTATGTTTCGGTGCTTCCGTCAAACTATGGAAGTTCTAAAAAAAAGGAATATGTGGGGAGTAAGGGGATTCTATTTCTTCTGAAGTATAAACACAGTAGTCCCAATAACACGCTTTGCAGAAAGCAGTTTCCATCGGTTCTATGCACACCTGTAATAAAAGACTCCAAAACAACTTACTTCAAGTGCTCCACGCACCATTTCCGAGTTTGCGATTTCATCGCCAAATAAATGAAAATCAATGAGATCAGAAAATGAACCGTCGTTACTGACTTGGAACAGATCCAGGGTGGTTTTCTTAACAGAAAAAAATTTCGATTGCCAAATTCCTTTACGATCGAAGGTACACGTCTAAAGACTCACCTTATAGGTCTCTTTCCTTTCAGGAGTGTCTACCCGTGAAAAATACCACAGTATAATTGCCTTCGCCTCGAGTTTATTGGTACCTGAATCAGGATTGTCAAAGGGGTTCCGATTTTTACCAATCCACATGATAAGTGTGAAGGTACACACTATTAAATCTGTGGGCTCCCGTTCCACAAACATGAATGACGGGGAAGATCGCCTAGCTTATGAAGGGTTCCTTTGTTGAAAATGTTACTTTTATGTAACAGCTGTACAAGTAGCACAAACATGCTACTCGGAACAAACTCAGTTACCATTTTCCTGCCCTTTGTGGGTCCTTTCTCTGCTATACCTTGGGTGACCGACAGTAACTCCGAACAGGGAACCCGGCGGCAAGTCAACTAGCTATGAAGTGCCCCGCTGCGATCAGAACAGGTCTAACGCCGCACACCCTAGATGTACTGGAATATTTGACTAATCAGATTCCAAAGGGCCCAAAGACGTAAAAAAAGTCACAGGAAAAGCGTAGCGGCTAGCGGGTAAGGGTATTTTACCTATTAGAAGAGTGTTAAGAGTGTGGCTTTTGATGTCCAATTTTACTACTAGTGTTGGCCTGTTTCTTTTGAACGCTGGGTTAAGTTGGCTTCAAGAAAATTCAAAAAGTTCTACCATCACAAGCAATTTTGTGATTTTCGAGCTGCTACGAGTTGTAGTGGATTGAAGTTTCGTTCCTTTAACCTTAAAAGAAACGTTTTAACGTTCTTTTTTCCTAAATCCACAGGTTATGCCCTCCTATTTCGGTTGTTTTAGATGAGAGATGAGCGCTGGTGATGTTTCTGTTTTCGGTAGCAACTTGACGTGTCGATTAGTCAGCATTTACGAAACCTTTTTTCCACTTCAACCTATATAAGCGGTAGTAATTGCCGATGCTGTGGTGAAAAACAGCTTGGTATGCACTTTGATGTCATCCTACGGGTCGCAATCAAAGACGAAATAGAAAGGTTGGTACAAATGTAGTAGGAGCAAGAACCTGCTGAGTACATACGAACTGAGTTGATTCATTTGAATTTTATGAAAGGAACCGTATTCTCACCAGGAACGACATACGCATCATAAAAGTGCATGCCGATGAATAACGGAGTGTCATGGAATGTGCTTTCCGGATAGCCCAACTGTTCTCCAGCATCGGTTTCATTTGAGCGTAACACTTTCTGAAATAGGAGTACATGAAGAACAGTTCAATTTTACATTCCACTTTGCGGAAATCCTCAGAAACTTGGTGTTCTGTATATGGCAGAAATGATCTCATTAATTGGTGGGTAGCTATTAGGTCGGCGGTAAATTTCTCGATAGTCTGTAGGTATATAATAGAACTATATTTTTAAGTCCCCCCCCCCCCCCCCTATCGCCATCTCCTTTCAAGGCATGATAAGTTCAACTACTGTGAAATTTCACGGCCCTCAAACCCGTCATACTCTGAGGGTAATGGTAACGGGCACTCCCGAGAGCTGGCTTAGTTAGGCGTATACCGCTGAAAACATCTGCCGCCGACTCATAACCACCTCGGAGATTAGTGGGAACATTTGGCACATCTACAGATTAATGAGACTGTAAGGGATGATTTCAGTTTTTCACTTGAGTTGGTGTATACAAATTTGAAGGACTTGTTCTCAGTTACTTAGTAATCCAGTATTTCCAATGAATATTCCATCCTCGGGTTCCGACTCCTCCTTCCTATCGGAACAATAGGGGTTTTGAGTCAAATGAGGTCACCCCTCCACATCTCAGAGATTCGGATCATCTTTCCTATTAAAGAAATTTTATATCCATTATGTGGTATTCCCTCGCTGATGGCTTCTAACCCTGACAGTTTGTCTTTTTATCATAAAGTAGTAGAGTAATCACAAGTTTATTCTCGGCTTTCGAGGTTCTGTAGACGGTGATCCCACCTGGACGTCATCGAATAGATTTGTAATCGAAGTTGAGGACTCAGAAGAAAGAAGGGGTGCGAATAGAAGATGGAAGGCTCACCATAACCATATGGAATGGTTTGTTGAGATCGCAAAGCGGATGACAACTTCGTTCACTGGCGTTCTTCTTGTCTGCTAGCGAAGTTGTCATTATGTGATCGAATCGAAGCACCTGAATATTTTGTTCTAGCAGTGAGATGAAAATGGTACAAGTATGAAATACAGTAATGAAAGGGAGTAGTGGGTGAGAACCGAAGAGAAATTAGTTCCAAAAGGTGACGCTTACATAGTTAAGCATTACAAAATTCAAACTGTAGAAGTGCCTACGTCTGTATAGCCTGTTTTTATCTTCAGATGTTTTTTATATTCAAACTGATTTATTTTAATATTTGTGTCTATTAGTAAAAGCGTAACCGGGTGTTGCTAAGTGGAGATCTGATAAAATCCCATGCGTTGCCGAATCAAATAAGCCTTCCACTCTGGCGAGGTTGATTAATCAGCACTAGAACTTTTTTGGATGGATAAAAACTCTGTCGTGTGCATGGCTTACTCCTGCAATTAGTGCATAGGCCAAATACCCATTCAAATGCCACTACGATTCTAAATGGAGTCGAATGACGAGACGTATCCCAAAATGGCTCATCTCCCAAGGTTTTTACTTGAATTTTACTTTTTCTTTTTACTTGATAGTTGCTCGTATTTTGGTCCTCCTTCTGTTACTTTCGAGCATCGTTCAATTATAGATCATACACGTGAGCCTAATTTTTTGAATAAGCATACCTACTAGAGGCCGGTAGTTCCTTCCCCTTCATCTCTTCCCTGATCGAAAACACGCTAGGCCCTATTAGCAATGCACTCGCCTGTAAAACCGAATTCCTGGCAAAACAAAGAGATGCGGCATATTGGCTTATAGATTAGGCCATGTACGCGTAATCACGATGGCAAAAGTCACGATAAACTTCCAATGCTGAGAGGGTACTTTTTATCAGTCCGACTTCATTGTTTTCTGTTTACACCTCTGACAGCACTCTTGTAATTGATGACATTATTAGTTGATTTGTGTGATTAGTGAAGTTTTTTGAAGCATTAGAAACAATCAGTTGCTTTTGCCCTTTCTTGTTATTTTTCTAATTGGAAAAGTGAAGGATAAGGTCTTGGGCTTAAAGAAAAAGTGTTTGGGTGTAGACCAATCCCATCTGAGTGATGCGCCCCGCATAAAACTTCCATTCAGAATCGTAGTGACGTATTGAATACGTATTTGGCATATTCAATGACTTGTGGTGGCCAGAGCCGATGTACAAGTTAGTGCTTTTATCTTCCCAGACGAGTTGGTACCAACTAACCAAAGACTGGTGAGAGATTTGTTTGGCTTAGGCAGATATCGAGCCTGGTTTGAACCAGTGTCCATGCGGGTGTTATTGAGCGCCACTACTTCACCACCTCCGCCCTTTTCTGTCCTCTATTTCTCCAGTTATACAAATTAATAAGAGAATTCAACAGTTCAAACTTGATAGTAAAAAGAAGTTAGATTGGAAGCAAAGTTACGGGAAAGAGGCTTGTTAAATACGATTTGAAATAGAAGAAACTAAACCTCATCGATGTAGCCATCACGCATGATGTCGCCTCCATCCTTTGCTGAAAATATGACGAAAGCTCGCCGTGGAAATAACGACAAATTGTGGAATTCCAGGTACACTCGCGATTCACTGCAAATATCGAGCATTACGGAACGGCAAAAAATTCACCCCTCATTGTGACATCTGCGGGAGTTTGCAGTGATGGACTGATGGAAAGGGATGAAAAATCAAGCTCACTCATTGTCTAGGTGTACCAGAAATTCCCCTGAGGCCACCCCAAGTCCTTCTTTCAAGCCTGGCATCATGCAGGATTGAACGTTTGGCCTTGATCAGTTGCTTGACCTGTACCAATCATTCGATTCCAATGAGATTCGCAACTTATTTGGAGGCACGTTCGGAACGTTCAGAGTTGTATAAGGAGAGTTTTGATCCGCTTAGTGCGCGCGGCGATTTTTAACCAGTGTTGGTTCGCCAATAGACAAATCGTTCGAAACTCCCAGTCAGATCGAGACAATCGAAACAACGCGTCCAAGTTTCCCGTCCTAGTAGTGGTGGTTGAAGGGCAGTTGGATATGCTTAGTAAAGCATGGCCGTGGTTAGCTGAATTCGAGAATACCAAGGTTACACTTAACCTTGACATCATTCTGATCCACCATGGAATGCAAAAAACCTGCCCAATAGGATCTTTCCTCGGTGGATGTGGTGTAGCGCCAGGTCGCGCATAACATACCTGGACCGGGGATCCAATCCAGGGCCAATATATGCCTAAGTCAACTGGGCTTTTTATTTTTGAGGGGTCGACTGATAGGTAAAGGTATCAACAAGTTTTCCATGATTATATTTCTTTTTTGGACACACTTGCTGCATTTGCACCCACGACTATACTCAGATAATAGATCGCGGCGGAGAAAATCAATTTCATCGATTTGCGACGCCATCTTTCTAACGCGCAGTATGTATCAAGAAACGTATGTGTCGTAGTATTGCTAAAACTCGATAGAAGATCTAGGGGCTGGATATTTTTATTACCATAAAATATCAAATATTTATTTTGAGGTGAACAATGAAAATAAAAAACCTGTTGGAAATTTTCTGATAAACTAATAGCCCTGATATGTGGTTTCCAGTAAAGTGCTGTTCTACTACAGGCTAACACTTCCGTCAAATATGGGATGGGATAAGGGATCGTTTTGACTCAAGAATCCCCTCTATACTACTTACTACCAGCAGTTCATAGTACACAGTCTCAGGTAAGGTCATGTTTAAGTAGGTTACCAGGCGCAAAAATAACAAAACAGAGGGCAAGTGATTTTCGGACATTGGACGTTGGATAGAGTGGGACTTGGACGTTCACCCTCTCGTTGATAAAATAGGCAAGGTGGGTTTACCAAATATGACGATGTCCTTTGGACGAGAAATTTAAAACGCTTGGTATTGATACATCCCCCTGTGGAATGCGCCCCGCACTTGACCTTCATTCAGAATCATAGTGATGTTTTGCTTGCATATGTGTCCTGAACAATGACTTGCGATTGTCAGTCTATGTACAGGCCAGCGCTTTCATCCTCCCAGAATGGTCTGTTACCATTTAACTGAACCCGAAAAGACTAAAGACTCGATTAGCCCGAGCCGCTATCAATCAAGGTTCGGTCCCCGGATCATGCGTGCGATAGCAGGCCGTTTGGTACCACACAACTACGCCCATGTCCCTTTATCCTCCCACACGAATTTTATACCATTCAACCGAATTTTTTTCGGAGGGAAAAAAATTGATGGAGGAGACATGGTAAGCGTTCAACAGTCTTGGATAAGGGGGTCCATTCGATATCCACTTGAGGCCCTAGGGATACAGGGCAGGGCAGGGCGGATGGCTTGAACGTAGGTGTAGAGTTCTTCTCCTAAGAATCTCGAGGCCCTGACGTTGTCCCATTTGTTCTCAGAGCTCTAGAAGTACCGATAAATAGATTCGTGATGAACACATTCGTTATTCAGTGATATTCCTTCATCAAAAGGTGAATCTGTTCCACCCGTTATGGGAGTAACAGAAACCGGTTTTTACTTTTTTTTNTTTTTTTTCACTAACCACTGTAAAATTTCTCCATGATGCATGAACAACAACATCTCAATAGTACAGCGCTCCTATCAATTCGGAGAAACGGACAATCAGTGGTTTCGTTAGCCATTTCGCTCCGTAACCATGGGAAAGGCGCTTTACCCTTATAAGGAGCGGCTTAAAAGAGATTAGCGATGAGCACTTTTCGTGCTACACCCATCTCACAGCCTCTGGTCGGCAAATTTCAGCAATTGCAAAGTGTTTGGCACTAATCCATTTCCACCAGAATACTGGATTTCTTCGTAAGACCAACGCGGCGCCGTATGAGAACCGCAATTTCTAACCGGTTCGCTATGGCCGTTTATAGTTACAACGATGGTGCCGTCAAAAAAATAGCCACGTAAAAAGCCTATGGCTATTGCAACCGGTTGGTCAACAATGAATGCTGAACGGTTGTGAGAGTGAAACCACCCAATCGTCAAGCATGAAGGTTATTCTCCTGTTTCTGCAGGTGTTTTTCGAAGATTTAGAACGCTGTGTACGTAATAGCTGTCCGAGTCGCCGAGAAGCGGCGGGATTACATGGGACGCCGATCGCAATCCGGGGTCGGGTGAACATCGTTCGGGATCCTTGAAGCAATCGGCTACTCTGGAAAGAAAGCCCTTGGTGGGATCCAAATTCTTACAGTAGCTTTGAAATTGGAATAGTATGTATTAGACGCAAGGCAGTCACGGACGACACACCCTATTCTACGTCTCAATCAAAAATCGATATTGAAGAAATGTCAAGCTCCAAGCGTCAGTTGTACTTGCGTTAGTAGACGTCACGGCAGCTGGTATCAATTTAATATCTCACTGAAAACTTAGGAAGTGAATTTTTTCGACTTTCTTTGCTTCGCATAAACTGAATTGACGTAAGGTCGTAAAATTAAATGCATTGTCCGAGACCACCCTAGCCTCTCATAAAATTTACGACTAGTGTTATTGTAGGAATTTGGATCCGTATTGAATACTCACTTAGCATGATAGCCATCGCTTGACAGACACCCTTAGGGAGCCGGGAGAAGCCTGTTGAACTTCCTTCTGAAGATTAATTGCCACCACTGTCGACTACTTCAGAGGGGAAGGAGGGGAAGGGGAAAGCACGCACATTCGTACCTTTACGTAATCATCTATTTGCATTCTCTGAACGGTTCTTCCAGTGCAATTTTTTTCCACGAGCACAGCACAGATCTCACCCATCCCGATACTTCTCCCTCCTGGGGCTTAGGCGAAAACCACCAATCTGCTGGAACAAGATCGTTCCAAAGCATCCTTGAAAGGCCGCAAAGCTAGCTCCTCATCCATCTCAGTACTCTGGTCTTTGGGTTAGAGAGGCAGAGCGCATAGTGGAGTGGCCCCCATCAAACACATTTACACCGAAAAAAGTGTATTGTAAGAATAAGTGGGCTATTCAATTACGTAAGAATCATACTTTGGACATTGGAATCAGTCCCCACATGGCGAACAACATTGATACACCCCATTCGATATGGCTATAAAAGAAAAACTGCAGGAATTTCAGACATAGAAGTCGCCATGTCACCATCTCAACGACAGATGGCTGGGCCCACCCAGAACCAAATCGACCACAGCCTTCGTACACTGATAGCGAAAAATGGAATTTTCGGAGGAGGGAACTTATGGTAAATAAACAAGAAAATAACCAATAGGTTAGTGATCAATAGTTAGAGTATTCAGCAACCGCTTGAGAGACGCTATGCTGAACTGCAAATACCGAATGCCAAAGGTAACGGATAACGACACTGTAGATTGGAAAGTAATACTAAGAATTAGATTACTGCGAGAGGACCAAAGAAGTAATGATCACTGCCTTCGAAGAGGGTAGAGCAGTAGAGAAACGAGATAGCTCAAAAAATAGCAGAGTATAAGTGAAAGTAAAATAAGTGAAATTTCGACTTACTTCCCACTTACGGAGTCATCCGGGGAGAATGATTTCCTGATGTCCTGTTCAAAGCGAACATTATGAAGGCCAGCCGCCAGTATGAGGCAAACGACAAGACTACCTAAAAATATTATTTTAACATTCAAAAGGCATTAATTCAAAAAAAATCAGTTGGAGAATCAGTTTAGGATAGCCGGGGAACTCGTCCGATTCTTTTCAATTATCTGTTTGATCCCGAAACTCCCTCTCTAATTGTTCCCGCCAGTACCTTCGTCATTTCTAACTCCACACCTCGTCCTCCTCCCAACCCCTCCCCCAGCCCCCTTACCGGTAATCCATCCACACTAATACAGTAATCCAGTAACTCCTATCCCTCACTATCCATAGAACTGCTCCCCGTGACGTATCTACTTTGAGGTCTGATGTGGGTATAGCCGCAGAAAGAGCGACGTCTTGGCAACATTTACGCGCAACCTACTTGACAATGACAGTGAAACATTCCCTTCGAAAAAGCTTTCTGTCCAATTGCCTGTTCCGGTTTACCAGTGAGTCCAATTGCCTTTGACTTTTTATGATCCCATCCCTTTAGAGTTTTTCCTTAGCTTGACCCTTTTCAACTTCCAAGAATGTCGAAGCAGGCACAAGAACGATGTCGAAAAGAGAACAAAATTCCTACCATTGTTCCGCTATTGCGTCACGGTAGTATAACGCCCAACACACGTTACATTACGACATATTACGTCCGAAGGGATTACTGTATGAAATTGGATCAGCACTGAGTTTTCGCTTTCTTTTGCACCATATCTTCAATTCTAGGTCAATTTTGAATTATAGGCCTACTCAATCACTTCATAATGACTCTAACTAGTTATTGGAAGTAATTAAGGAGTATTATGTACTTTGGTAAAGCCAGATTTTGCACCTGACTCGACTCTACTCAAAGACATTCCAATTGCATTACAGCGATTTGATGTGCGTCACTTTCTTCGTAGGTAAGTAGACAAGGTCGAGTTTCACCGAGGTCCGATGTTCCCTACTAACCTTTTCGGGTAGATGGCAGCAGTAGCCATGATACCAGAACTCATTCAAGGGCAACCCGGTAGTGGTACATCGAAGCGATTATCTCTTAAAAGCCCTCCAATCAGTGCTGAACTCCAACAAGGGTACGAGCACGGGAGGGAGGTGGTCTTCCTGGTGAGTAATAGTCCTCCGTTTTGAGGCAGTCAGATGGATCTATAATGGTAACAAGGTGTTCCCACGGAAAAAGTCATTTTACTGCCCCAGTACCAAAACTCGTCGAATAGACCCATTCGTTTTAGTTCGGTAGCCATAACGATTCCTTGCCTTTTCCATGCGAACACATCACTAACAATGAGGGAGGCAACAGAACGACCTTGGCGCTAGCGGAGGCAAATGCCGGCGGGGTATTGAATGGCCTTTCTTATACGAACATTGTATTGTCACAACTTTTGTTTACTGGACGCCCTCCCAAAAGGCCTGTCTCGAATGCTGGTTGCTCTAGATGGATGCCAGAGGTCTAACTTTCCATCGAGGGCCAAATAAGTCTAGGTCTCTAAGAGTAAAATATGCCATCGAAAAACTCAGGGAAGGGCGAGTGGATCCTGCAAGTAAGCTCAGTTTCGAGTTAGGGTCCTGCAAGTTCCTATAGTTAGGACCAGCCACACGTCGACGGTGCCACGTCCACCCGAATGTCGGGTATGTCATACCCCCCATAGAGACAACACGAGAACATGAACGCACCAGTGATAGATGTTCCGGGAAAACGTGACACAACTCGGGCGATGAATGCGCTTACAGCATCCCACATTGCTCGGGCTGCTGACAACACTCGATGCTGACAGTGCTACAGGAGCCGCCCGATTCCGATTTGACTCGTTGGTCCTGAACAGACTGGTTTTTCTCGCCTGGTCGCTACAATGAGGCTACTCGCGTATGATGAACAGAGCGATCGACAGCGCTAGCTAAACAAGGGTGCTAGTGCGAATGACATAGTGAAATATGGCGTTGACAACAAATGAATGCATCGAAAACGAAAGGATCGAGAGGAATAAATTATTGGCATAATAATGGGTCATGGCATGAATTTGTGGCGAACTCAAGTTACACTTGACAGGTAGAACTGAAAAATACTCGTCATTAATTTTTGGTATACTTTTATTTGAGGAATTTATAAGGTTATTGTATTATTTTTTATTATAACATTAATTATCACGTGGTATTACTTGTTATCACATAGTATCATTAATTTTTTTTGTTCATATAAATGTTACAATAAGCCGCGTTCATTTTTATGCTTGTTTACTTTACTNTCATGGCATGAATTTGTGGCGAACTCAAGTTACACTTGACAGGTAGAACTGAAAAATACTCGTCATTAATTTTTGGTATACTTTTATTTGAGGAATTTATAATGTTATTGTATTATTTTTTATTATAACATTAATTATCACGTAGTATTACTTATTATCACATAGTATCATTAATTTTTTTGGTTCATATAAATGTTACAGTAAGCCGCGTTCATTTTTATGCTTGTTTACTTTACTGATGGCAGAAATACAATTCTTTTTTGCGATTGCCTTCTAACGGCGTGACCGTTTTCAAGAATGCTCACTTTTTTTTCTGAAGAAAAAAAAATTAGAAGTGATTCAGGGAAGGACTTCAAATTCCATTTCCTGGAAGGACAATCGTAAAAAATAAAAAAACACATTAATTATTACTGAGTTCCATATTTTCAAATGAAATTTCCAGGTTCATAAGGTTGAAGTTTGGATCTATGACGTAAGGTCCGAGTCTTCAAATTATCTTCTTTAACTAAGTCAGATCAATTTTACTCCAGTACTTTGTACGTTTATATCTCAAAAAGGTTGAACATAAAGGTTGATTATCATTTCCTTTCTTAATATTTCGAGAATATTAAGAAAGTACTTGGCAGAATTTTATCTTTCGGGTGTTTTTTCATAATCCGAACTCCTAACTCTCTTCAGCTGCACTTCTAGCCCCGCCCTTTTCCGTCTTAACTGATTTACTCGTAAGTGACACCTCTATACTCCATTAAATGGGTATTAGGTATTAAATAAAGTTGTACGAGCAGAAAGTACTGTGAGAGAAGATAAACAGCAGGAGTACAATAATGAGTTGTTATTGTTACAAATCAGTTAGTACACGTATTATTTTTAATTAGAAAAGTTACAAAAAGTAGAAAACACTAGAACACCAGTGTCCAGTGTTCAGACTCCGTAAGAAACGGATTTAGATGTAGATCTTTAAAAGAGACAATTTGCAGCGATGGAACGAACGACATTACACAAAACCCGAACGGCTGAAAGTGCGTGAAACAGCTGATTCTCTGGGACATTCGATCAAAAAGTGGCCCCCCACTTGACTGAAGTCAGATTTTTAGGTTTAAAGGTAAGAGTTTACTAGTTACTCCGATATAGTACGCTGAATTGCTGTAACATTTGTGAGGCAGCGTATAACGGCTAGCCGGTAATCGAACGAGAACTACCCCCCGCTTAGAACTGGACATTGAGGAGAACCATCGGGGGGTGGGATCGATTGGGTGTATGTATGTGTGTGTGGGGGGAAGTGCCCGATGCGGGGGATATTCGGCACTATGCAAACTGACACAATCAATAATAGAGACATGAAAAAATGAAGTTTAAAACACTTCGCTCATCACCTGCCTTCCCCTCTGTCTGTACGTTTCGTTCATTTGCAGGATCGAAACGGTAGCGAAATCAGCTGGTTTTTGCAAATTTCAATGGCCCAGATCAAGGATGTGACCTTTTCGAAAAGAAAAATAAAAGGGCCAAAAGATGCCTTTCAGGTCATGACCGAAAAACCTGAATGCTTCTTGATCTTTCAGTAAACACCCTTTGCCTTGTCTCTATCATGGGCTAGATTGGTCTCTGGCGCCTCGCCATCACTCAATTAGGGGGTACTCTCGCTGAAGGGCCGCTGTGAATTGCTTTGTTGATGTGACTGACGTCATTAGAATGCGTAATTACAATACCAGACGTCTTACTAGTAATCGGGGCAGTCATTTGCAACCCTAAATAGCCGAAAACACAACTATTATGCAGCTTTGAACGCTTATGAAACATTTATGGACACTTCCCGAGTCTGAGGTGGAACCCCAAACGGGCATGCTTTTTTTGGGTTGGCTGGTTATTTATTTGTTTCTCACCTTCTCTTCAGAAATAAACAAAGAGTGGGTGAATAAGTAAACAAAGATCTGATTGGCTTACCAATCAAACCTTAATTACCTTTTTACCTACTCTTCGTTCATTCAAGTAAACAAATGCGTCAGGCGAAGTTAATGAGGAGAAAAAGCGAAGAATAGGGTCCAGCTAAGGAGCGGGGCAGGCTTTGGGCCAGGTACTTCGATCTGACTGCAAAGGTGCCCATGTCGACAGCTCAGTCGTAGGTACTTCCCGGACCTCATTGAATAGATAGGCTGAGTATGCACAGCGAAGGTACACTCCACAATACAAAAGAAGACATGGGGCTCCCCCTAAAAAGGTAAAGTCCACCTGCAAATCTGTCGAGCTCTGAATATCACGGCATAACTATTTACTATTACCATAGTGAAGTAAACAAATAAGACCCTTCTGGATATTCGAATATTCGGGCCTGAATCTCGGGACACATTCAGACCTTGACCGTCTGGATATCCCTGATATGGTTACCTTTATTCATTAAATACTTTTTGATCAATGCTTTGCCTAGCGGTACCCTATAGTACGGATACGTAAAATAAACACGTAAAATAAAGGAATTAGGAAAAAAATAATTAAATAAAATAGGTACTCGAAGGGTGGCTTTGGTGGTGGTATATAGCCCATACTCAGGCCCACGGGAAGACTGGCTCTGTCGGATTATCGGGTCACTGCATAAGCTGAGACATCTGGATGCCTCTTGAGGCACAGAACAACAACAATAACAACTGCAAACATAAACTAGTATGCAAAGACAACAGACTGGTAAGTTACATTGACGGTGTGGTGCGAGACAATTCTGCAACACTTCCTACGTAGGTACTGTAAACAGACGGACGATTCGTTCTATGGAATATGGAATAATCAGAAAGAAATCAATACAGAAACGGTTTTCGTTCGTTTTCATTTGCAGACAGACCGATAACACTAGTGGAAAAGTAAGTAGATTTCAGAAACATCCATAATGTGGAAGAAACGTTCAGTGTGTGAACAACCGGCCAGGTTTCCCATTGGCAAATCGCTCATGAGAGACGTCAAATTGATGAATTTGAAAGAAAAACTAAAGGAAAGTGGAATTGCACTTTACTGCCGTATCGAGCTCAACTTCTACTTCTCAGAAGACTTCAACAAAGCTTTACTAGAACATCTTAACTCAAATCCAATACGAACTAAGGAATTCAATGATACATCACTTTTTCCAGAAGAAATTGATTATTGTGATTATTTGTTTACTGATTGCATGCTGTGTTTAATGATCGTTTTTGATTAGTATGCTTGTTGATCACAACATTGTTTTGCCTACTTGTTTGTTTCACAGAGATATTTTAGTATTTGAGAACTCAAAAGTAAACAAAGAGATGTAAAATTGATGTTTAAATGAGAAACCACTTTTTTTCCTCCCGGCCGTAAAGTTGCTGTGTTTGTTTACGTATTTATTTACTTGATTTGAAAAAAAATTTGTGAGATTCTGTTATGGTCTATATTTTATTTGTCGAGTAATTTTTTAAAAGATCTTTCCCGAGTACTTTTTCATGGTCAAATACGTTTTCTTTCTCGGTTGTACCGTATCCTATTGACCAAAAACTTTTTTTTTGCTAATAAATAAACAAAATAGAAATTTCCAGAGAATTTTCATGCGACTTCAACATGAACTTCTAGTTTACTCGCCAAAATATCCAGTAAGTCAGTAAGCGGATCAGTGCGGGAACAAAACCAATTAAGGTACGGTTGCCGTTCAACTAAGCATCAATACAAAATGTAGAAATGGTAGGAAGCCGATCGACTTACTCTGTGGGTTAAGCGGGGAGTGGTGAAAGAAGCTGACAGACCGACACCGGGTTGGCCGTGGGGCAAAAGTGAAATCGCGAGGCCGCACGACGGCGACGTGTGCACGGCGACGTTTTCGTTTCAACAAGAAGACGAATCGATTCCGATGCTTCAGGCCTGATTCAGACCCGCCCCTCGGAGCCTGGGGGACCAAATGAAATCGATTTCGCCCGGGAAATGTTCCAGGAAGGGAACGGCGTCGGCAAGAATTTGGTGATTAGGCTGTCGTCAACATAGGCATCAACGTCAGTGCGAAACTACCCATGAGAAAGCGTTTTTCGATGGGATGGTGCCATCTGGGTCCAAAGGGGTTGCTCATTTGTTTTGTTGAGATTGGAAATATTAGTTAAAATAAGATTTATCAACAATATAATGAATGGTCTGTTTAATATTTTACCTTTGGTAAAAAATGATTTCTAAGACGATAGCAAGAGTATAGCTGTCCGTTAACTGTTCCAGTGTGACCTTCATAGACATTGTTTCATAAAAAGTCCGACTACACTGTGGCTCCTAACGGGTCCAAAGGAAAAAAACGCTTCGTAGCGAGAACTTTCGACGAATTAGCTGTTTTTGAACTAGCTGCCTATCATAACTTTGCCTTGTACCATCTGAATATACTCTACTTAGAAGTTATACTCTTCGTCGGGTAGAGGCGGTGTAGTGGCAAGTGGCGCATGTACGCATAGTCACAGGTTCGAGTCTCGGATCGATATTCGCCTAGGCCAATTCCTATTCCCATTTTCCTACCAATCCTTCCACC